ATTAATTAGATCTCTCTCAAAATTCTTTTGTTTTCAAATAATTAGATATAAAGGTTCTTTTCATAAATTACGATACAATCTAAAGAAGGATATATATAACTTTTGATTTTTAAAGAGTTTTCAAAGAAAGCTATGCTAGTTTAAGTTTAAGTATTGAAAATAATTATTTTTAACATTACTCCAAATTCAAAAAGATTAAGGAAATAATAAAATTTAAATATGATAATTAAATTTGAGTTTTTTAATGAGATCAATAAATAATTTGGAATAATGTTTGAGACATTTTTCCAACAGGTGGACACTTAAATTTAAAAATTGTTGGATATGAATAACAAATTAACCAATAAGGAATATTTATCATTTAAATAACAATTAACATATCTTCAATAGTTCCATTAAGGTGAAAATCCAAACAAATATAGTAAAAAAAATTAAAAGTATTTTTTAGGTACTTTATTAGAATTATATAATCAAATTTTGAAAGTTATGGAAAATGTTGTCAAGCAGAATGATCAAAAAGAGACCAAACATATAGAATAAGGAAGTGAAATTTATTAAACATAGAAAAAGACAGAGAATACAGAGGCAACAAATCAAGATTAGGAAATTATTTAGAGCTAAATTATTTTTGAAAAGTGTAAAAAACTATATTATATAGGTAAACAATTAACCTATGAGGGGAAGCATTAAGATGCATTAAAATTATTTGATAAAGCTCTGATGAAAGATCCCAATAATCAAGAAATATAAATATGGAAAGGTATCTATCATTGTTTATTTTGATAGGATAAGCCTTAACTTATTTAGAAAGATTTTAAGAAGCTAACCAATCTTATGATGAAGCCATTCAATCAAATTAATAGAATTTTTTAATATTGAATAATAAAGGTAATTCTAATTAAAAGTCAATATTAATAGGAACTGTTTTAAATGATTTATAAAGATATGAAGAAGCTATTTAGTGCTATGATGAAGCCATTTAGCTGAATCCTAATAAAAGTTCTGTATTCGGCAATAAAGGTATATGTAATGCTTACATTTTTTAAATAGGATAAGCATTAGCAAATTTAAAAAGATATGAAGAATCTATTTAATGTTATGATAAATCTATTTAATTAGGTTTAAGTGATATAGCATTCAACAATAAAGGTGTGAATAATTAATCTTAAATTTTAGGCACCTCATTAATGAGTTTGAATAGTTTTTAAGAAGCCATCAAGTGTTTTGATGAAGCTATTTCATTATTCAGCTTACATCAATAAGGGTAAAGGCTATTGTTATCATTTTCTTAATAGGATTAGCATTAGCTAAACTCAAAAGATATGATGAAGCTCTCCAAAATATTGAAAAAGCAATCCAACTAAATATGACAAATTTTTTGGCATTTGAGAACAAAGGTTTGTTAAAATAATAAATAATTTTATTAGGGGGTTTATTACAATAATTGGAAAGATTCGAAGAAGCTATCAAAAGTTTTGATAAAGCCATCTTATTAAATTCAAAGAGCGATTAATCATTTACATAAAAAGGTATTTGTTTATCAACTATATTTCAGGAATAGCATTAAATAGTTTAAAAAGATTTTCAGAAGCTATAGAATGTTTTGATAAATCCATTCAACTCAATCCAAAGATTGATTAAGCATTACTTTACAAAGGTATTTTATGTCATGAGAATCATTTTAGGATAAGCACTATGTAACCTTTAAAGATATTAAGAGGCTTTAAAATGCTATGATTTATACGTTTAATTGAATCCAATTGATGAATCTGTCATAATCTTAAAAGGCATCTTTATTTATCAGATTATTTAATAGCTCATACATTAGAGAAATTATAAAAATACGAGAAAGCAATTTCATGTTATGATAAAGGAATTTAATTAAATTCAAATAATTTTGAAATGTATCAGGCTAAAGGTAAGTATATATTTAAATATAATT